TTCATCTTTTCCTTTAAATCTTTGAGGGGATGTGGAGCCAGCGGTATCTGTATCTTTGTGTCCTCCAAGCTTGCCCCATAAGTCAGTTTACATCAGTGCAAGAAGCACAATATTATGCATTTTATATATTATACAAAAGTGAGCAGAGACAGGGCCGGGAAATCACGAAGAGAAAGTGTTTCCTGTGTTTAGTCTACAGCCACACATAAAGGCAATGGAGCGTGTTTGGGGCAGGGATGGAGAGGGTGAGGTGTTGAAGGAAACCTCGGGCAGGTCAGATACGTTTTGGGTTTTCAGGTGTTTGACGAGTTGGCTTGTGGAAGAAAGGACACGACCACATATTGTCTCAGAAATAAGCTGTAGGAGGCCCCTATGTGGAGGAAACTGCAGGGGCCTCAGCCAGAGCAAGCAGAGACCTGCTAGGGGTCCTCTGAGTCCGCTTCCCCATGCTGCTATAAAGGGAATATTACCACACACTACCAAATGCAGCAAAGCATAAGCCAACAGTTTACAAATTGTGTTTCTAAACGGTGGCTGCTTTTACTTGGATGCCTGCATATATAACATGTATTAATATATTAATATAAAATTTTATATGTACTAATATGGTAACACAAATAGATTTCTGATTTTATTACCCATAATGTCACCTTCACCTGTTATTTATTGACTTAATGCACTGTTAAACTATTACTGCCCAGAGAGTGATTCTGGGTGTGGGTCACGGGACTCTGCTCTTGTCCATTTCTACTTTGTTTTGTTGATAACTGAAGTCGTCCCGATGCATGCCGAGTTCACTGAGCTGGCTAATGGCAGGGTTGTGGGTGTGTAGGAAGGGCACCGAGTAAAAAAAAATCACACACAAGACATTTGGGCAGCCGGAGATGCTGAGCAAAGCTGAAAGAGAAAGATCACCACAATGCTCTTTACTTGGGCCAGCAATCTTCCGCCACAACCACAGAGAAAAGAAACAAATGCCTCGGTCATAGCCTACAATGTGAGAATAGTGGGGAACAGCAACCCCAGCCGACAGCCGGTGAACTCTGTGAATCAGCCCGTGACTCAGCATCTAGCTCAAGGCCAATGAGGAGTATTTAGAACAAGGAAGTGTGTGGTCCTCTTCTGCTCTGCATGGTCATGTCTGTTACTCCTGGCACTGGCAGGCCCAGAGCTGGGTTTCAAGAGTGACAAATTCAGAAGGTCAAAGCCTGGAAGGGTCTGCAAATGATGACAATCACAGGGCCTCCAGCTCCAGGCCTCTGAGGGAAGCAGACTGAGTTGCTTTCAACCATCAGAGGGCCTTTGGGAAACATAAGTAGGATTTCTTTGTGTGGTCCTGAGGCCAGAACTGAGCTTAGAGTCAGTCCTACAGGGGTCAATAGGCTTCAGCCAAGACGCCCTAAGTATCAATGACTTTCCTAAAGAACAAATTGCTTGTAAGGGAGGAAGCCTGTTCTGAGATCAGAGGCATCCAAACAGAAGCATGGGGAGTGGGATGGGGGAGAGGCACCTGGTAGGGATGCTGAGTAGGAAGAGGAACTTGTGCGAGGGTCGAACCAGTTGTCTTCTGCAATTTTCCTAGGATTCTAAAAATCCAGGTCTGGGGAGATGAAGGCCCCTGGTCCTGTGTCAAAAGTAGCCCATACTCATAACCTCAGAGCTGGGGAGGTAGAGGCAGGAGGGTCCTAAGGCTCCCTGGGCAGCTGTTGGCCTAGCCTACCTGGCGAGTTCCACGCCAGCGACAGATCCTGTCTAAAGCACAAACAACAGCTGGATGGCACCTGAGAAGGGACACCCGGGGCTGTCCCATGGTCTCACGTATGCACATGTCTGCATCTGCACACACGAGTATGTCCATAAACACACGGACACACCCACAAATCAAGTGGAGCATTCCAGATTTGTGCCAGTTTTCTCAAAGTTGAATGTCCAAACCATGTGTACTTGGGAACTGGAGAAAAACAACCACTTGCAATCTGGGCCGGGGAAACCTTATCATCGCCCTCTCCCTGGGTCCCCTACATCAGCTGACTAAGGCAGATCTCCTGTCTGTCCTCCAAAGAACACTCCTTACAGGCATAGCTATTGTAGTCTGTGCCCGCCACATCCAACAGAGAATGGGTTGCAGAGCAAAAAAGTTACAAGGTCACCAGTGTCCGTGGAAAATGTAGCTATTTCTGATAATTCTTAGTTTTTTTTTTCTTTATAAGGAACACAAAGGAAGTTTCTGGTGGAGAAAAATTCCCCCGAGTTTCTGTTGACTCTTAGTTATCTTTGCAGGCTTGGCATTGGATCAGGTTAGGCTAAAGGAAGCCTTAGAGAGGACCCATTTCAGGTTCATCCTTCCCAGACGGAAGAAAAGAGGGCCCGAGGGCAACGTGGTTCATCCAAAGACACCAGGTGCCTCCAGGCACAATTGGTACCGTAGCCAGCCCCAGCCCCCACTTCTGCTGAAGCCTAGACAGTTCCTGTAGGCTGCCTTCTGGGAAAGGTCCAGAGAAGCACAGCCTCTGGCCTTGGGCAAATGGAAATCTGGCCTCCTGGCTGTTCATTTATAGACATGAAAGGGACACGTAGGCCCTGACCCCACACCTCTCCTTTAAGACCTTTCTCTTTTACTCGGTTTAGAAGACCCTCCTCCTAAACTGCGTGCCTGCTCTGGTTCCTCACTGACTTGAGAGGAATACCAGACCCTTGCCCCATCTGTTGACACACACATGTTCCAGGGTCCAGAGTGGGAAGCTTGGCTCCTCTTCCAAGAAGTAGTAACATAGTAGAGGTTTCTAGACTGTTCCTCCTTCCCAGAGATCCCTGTGACAGACGTTCTTGCTCTCAGCAGAAAACAGCTGGGGAACCTCTGGGCACCTCTGGATGCAAATCCAGCTACTGAGTCAGCAGGGCCCAGTAGAGAATGTCCATGGTAGCACTTATTTCTTATGAGTGCATATATTAATTATACAAAATAATGTGTTTACTAATGACATGTATAGTGTAATGAATGCAGTTTGACCTTCTCTCATTTACTCTTTCTTGTTCTCTTCCCCTTCTTATAGTCTCTTGTCTTTTCTTCCTCTGTCTTGTGAGTTTCATTAGGGCTGCTGATAAGAGCATGGAGAAGGAAGCTATTCATAGAAACACGGGCACCTTACCAGTGGCTGGACCACCGAAGAAAGAGGGATAGTGTCTTGAAAACAGGTATGGGGTTCCTAGGCCCAGGGCCAGAGAAGCCCACCCTGTTTGTCTGGGTCCCATGGACGTAGGAACAATGCTGAAGTTCTAGGGATCCCAGAGACGGGGAGGGCTTCTGGGTCCCTGGTGTATGATTTGCTCATTCTTAACCCGTTTCTGTTTCCTTCATCTGTCTGCCAAGGGACCGGTAGCCCATTGGGAGGGCTTCAGGAGCCAAGTACCCCAAGTGCGTACTCTTCTCTAGCACAATGCCTATGACATCTTCAGTGTTTCTGATACTCTCCCATTTAAATGGGAGAAAAGAAAGGAAGAGCGGTTAATGGGTTAATGTGGAAGATGGACGGACTGCAGTAGGGTGGGTGTCAGGTGGTGGAATCCTGCGCCTGTTTGGGGATGTGACTCCTCTTCCCCTAAAGCTCTTCTGTTAGGGCCTGGCTGTGAGGCCTTCTGCAGCACGCAGGGAAGAGGGCAGTCACCAATCTAGGGCCTTTCTGGCACTGTCAGGGTCATTTGTGATACCCATGCGCCCCCCGGTGCCCCCCGCAGAGTGCTGCACCTCCCACCCCCACCGCCAGATTTCCAGAAAGCTCCTGGTGCATTCCCCAGCATTCTCTGGGCGTGAGTCATGCAGGTTTGCAGCCAGCCCCGAAGGGGGTGTACTTGAGCCGAGCACTATAAATAGGACGCTTCCCTGGTTCTCACCACCAGCGTCACCAGGAGGAGCGCACTGGAGTGACGCCGCAGACCGGTGAGACGTCCCCACCTTTCTCTTCCCAGGGCTGAAGCCACATCGGGAGGGATGGGGGGATAGGGGCCAGGTGGAGAGATGGCGCAGTCGTGGGGAAGTGGGAGGAGGCCAGAGTCCCATCACCAGACTGCCGAGCCTGGTCGAACTGTACGGGGGCTGCTCACCGGCTCAGACTCGGGAGTCCCTGTGTTCATAAGCCCGGATCACAATTTCAAGGTTCATTAACCCGGATCACAATATCAAGGCTGTTCAACAGGCCGCATGCAAAGATCTTCCTTTTGCAAAAATGGGGAAACTGAGGGTTGAAGCCTGCGTTGCGTTGCGCTGCGCTACGGGTGGCGCAGGGACGCAAGTGTCTGCGCGCTGCGTGCAGGTGCGGATCTTGGTGGTAGCTGATGCCTTACATGCATGAGTCACCGTGTTAGCACCTCCCTTCCAGCTCCCGGGACAGCACATAATAAATAAGATGTGTATTTAAGGACACACTTCAGCCACCCAGGACTGCTTAATACAGGACTGAATGCATCCAGTACTTAAGAGAAACGCTCCACCAGGACCGGAGACGTCTGATCCCACCGGATCATTTTATAGATGGTAATCTGAGGCCTGGAGAGGATTAGAGGTTCAGCCTCCAACCTTATACTAATGATAACAGACGCCTGCTGGCTTTCCAGAATTTCTGGACCCAATTTTAAAAGCTGCTGCTGCTGCTGCTGCTGCTGCTGCTACCGCCGTTTTAAAGGAAAGAGTTAGTAATTCGAGAGTCTATGCAGGTTCTGTAACAGGAAGCACATGAGAGTACAGTCTAGTTGCCCAACCTTGTAAGAATAATAGACGTTAGCCAGTGGAGTATTAGGCAGCCACAAATGTGTGACTTTAAAGAGCATTTGAAAGCAGGACCTATAGAGGGATGGTTTATAAAAATGCATTGACAAAAACAGAGAAAACACGCCTCGAGGGAAGAGGCGGTGCTGTCCTCTTAGATAAGGAGATCCTTGGCCCTGGCGGGGCTCATCCGCTCTGGGCAGCTGGCAGTCAGGCAGTGGGCCAGCCTCCAAATGATGAGAGGAAGTGAGTCAGTGTAGAGGGAGGGCGCCGGTCTGTGTGGCATTGTCCTTGGACCAACGGCACCGCAGTACCTGGAAACTTGCGAGACAAGCAGATTCTGACCCAGAGTCAGCACTGCCGTCAGGCCTCAGGGGAGTCTGTTGTTAGGAGATTCACAGAGCTGAGGATCCATCAATTGCCGTCTTTGAGGTCTGTATCAGTTCCATTTTATGGAGAAAGAAACCGAGGCAGGGAGATTTAAGACTTAGGATGACAAAGAAAGAATACTAAAAGGAGGTTCTAGAGGACTGGGCTCTTATCCTGGGGTGGCAGCTGGCTTACAGTGTGTCTTGGAACCTCACTAGTCTCTAGGCCTTGGCCCTCTGGTAGAAGTCCTGAGGGTAAGTAGAAGAGTGACCCCCCCCTTTCTTATCTGGGAGCTTGGTGGCTCTCCAGGCCCTGGGTTTCCTTTGGCAGATCCTGCCTCACCTCCCATTCATTGGTCTTCCTTGGCTACCCTGCCCTGCTTCTGGGCACAGTACTATCCTCTGGTCAGAACCCATTTGAATGGCATTTCCAAAAGTCACACTTGAGGTTTCTCTCACCTACAGGCATTTCTGTGGTCTCATCTTTGATGTGACAAAGGGTCTGTCCCTGCCTGAGGCATTTCAGGCCTTGGGCGAGCATCTGGGAGGCCTATGGGATCAGGACCTTTCAAGTGGGTCTGAAACCAGGCTGGCCCAGTTGTCTATCCACCACCACCACTGGGAAAGTGCCCGTCTCTTCTCCCTTGCAGCTCCTCTGCCCATGTCCACAATTATGCCTCAGGAGAGGCCTTCCCTATTAATGATTTACCCAGTGTGCCTGCTGATGGGACTGCCCAGCTGAGAGCCTGTTTCAGAGTGAGCCATTTCAATAAGAAAGACGGCTCCCCCTTCTCTGTTCCTGTGGCAATGGGAAGTTGGTGAGCCCAGATAAGCCATTCTGGGCAGGGTTGGAGATGCAAAACATGTGTGTGTGTGTGCGTACGTGCGTGCGTGCATGCGTGTGTGTGTGTGTGTGTGTGTGTGTGTGTGTGTATGCACGCACATGCATGTGCGTTTGTGTTTGTGTCTTTTTGTGCAACCAATCCCGCTTCTGGGAAAGGATCCATTGTGTAATACTGGGGCTTCAGCCTGTGTCCCCTGGCTCAGGGCAGCCAGCCCAGTGGTGGCAGGGGCACCTTGGCAGAGCAGGCTGGTTCAGGCTTAGAGGGAACAAGCGTGTGAAAGGGATTTGCTGGAACCAATGTGCCTGTCCTCCTGAAGGGACTTTCACAGCGGGGCCGGGGGGGGGGGGGAAGGGGGGGAGGAGGAAGGCTCATTGCTAATTCCCGGCTTTGTCTTCCCCTTCCCTAGCTCTGCTTTCTCAGCTTCCTAACCAATCCTTCCCTCCTCAGTTTGCTTCTTGCCTCCTGCCCCCCGCCCCCCGCCCCAGAATCCATGTTCATCCTGGCAGGCACCTCATGCAGGGAAAGTCAAATGGATTGAATTTGCGGTGCTGACTGAAGGGGGTGAATGCTACCTCTGACTCTGGAAAAGCCCACTTAGACAGCCCTGGGGGCTCTGAGGGGAGAGCAGGGCTGGGCTGGGGATAAGGGTGCTGTCCCATTGAAGCAGGTAGGAAAAGGATGTGTTTTATCCCGGGTTGCTCAGAGATAAACTGCAGTAAAAGTAACAGGGCCCCAGGTCCAGCCCTACTCCACTTCCTTTCTCTGGGAGCTGAAGTGGGTTGCAGGAAACCCATGAGCTGCCTGCTTCCTACCATGTTGTTCTGTTCTTTCCAAGCAGACCTGCTAGGACTCCTGACCCAGAGGAGGCCCCCGCCATGAAGATTCTCCTGCTGTGCATGGGGTTGCTGCTGACCTGGGATGATGGCATGGTCCTGGGAGAGCAGGAGATCTCCGATAATGAACTCCAAGGCAAGTAGACTGGGGGGCGGGGGTGGCGGGGCCTGGGGCAGGGCCACCTCTCCAAGCTCAGTCCCCAAGTGCTGAGTGCTGCTGTCATCCTGCATCCTGGGTCTGTATCTTTAGCTGTGCTCTGATCTCTCGCAGCCTCTCAGCTTCTGCTTAGTGTTCCTGTGGTCAGGGGCCTTCCAGACAGTGGCCTCTGTGTCCCAAGCCACTCATTCCTTCCTTCCTGGCCCCCTCAACTGGCTTCCTTACTTTTCTCTCAAAGCTGTGCCTGGACTGTGTGAAACTCTGCCGGTCTCTACTTTGTGTGATATCCAGAGTTCCTTCCCATGCGTCCCCAAACGGTTCCTCTGGGAACCTGGTTCTATCAGTGTTCTTAACCGGGTGAGAACAGCACAATTCAACATGAAACAATCTTCTGAGATCGCCCCTTCTTCCCCACCTCCCACCCCCTCTTCTCTATCTCCCACCCCCTTCTCCCCATCTTCCAAGGTTCCCCCAGAAACCTGCCTTTCCTCCTTCCTTCTTTCACAACCTCTTGTTCATTAGCTAGCCAGTTCTATGGGGATTTTCATTAAAAAAACAAAACAAAACAAAACAAACAAACAAACAAAAACCAGATATTTAGATCAGACCTGGGTGTGAGCTTTCTCTATATCCTCTAATCCAGTGGTTCTCTAACTTCCTGGTGCTGGAACCCATTAGTACAATTCCTGTGTTATGTTGTGGTGACCCCCAACCATAAAATTATTTTCACTACTACTTCATAACTGTAATTTTGCTACTGTTACAAATCATACTGCAAATATCTGATATATGACCCTGTGAAACAGTCATTCGCCCCCCCCCACACACACCAAAGGAGTTGTGGCTCAAGGTTGAGAACCACTGTTCTAATTGTAAACCTCAGGCTTGCGCGCATCGCTCTGCTCCTTCACTCCAGCTCTTCTGAGATATGATTGACACCTCAAAACGATGTTTTACAGAATACAGCCTGATGCTCTGATATTGATATGCATGGTGAAATGACTATTATTAGGTACCCATCATCTCTCCTCACTGTTGGGGTTCAGACACTCTTAGCGCACTACAAAGGGTGGAACACAGCATTATTAACCACGAGCACCGCTCAGACCGGTGATTTTTGGGCTCACTCATGCTGCATGATTGAGACTCCGTGCCCTTGGCTCAACACCGCCCCCGCCCCACTTCCCCTTCTCATTGCATGCGTTTGACAGTGGCATCAGGAGTAGTGGGTAGGACCCATCTGAGGTGTAGGAAATGGTGCTTGACACAGGATAAGTATCCAGTAGGTGGTGTCGCTGTGTCACGATGTGTCATTGCCTGCGTCACCCGGGGCTGTGCCTTGGTTACAGTCTCCATGGTGAATGCAGCCCTTCATTTATCTTCCTGTCTCCATCACCTGTCACTGTGCATTGGAAAAAGAAGGACAAAGGCTGGGTTAACCTGAACTCCAGAAAGAACTATATCCCAAAACAACAGACTTTTATTATATTTTAATGCTTAAGAGGTTAACTATCACATTTTTTCTGTTTTCCTTGAAATATCCTCTGTGATCGTTGGCTCCCCAGGGTGGCTGTGGTTTGTGTTTCTGAGTTGTGGGGTGACATCTACCATGAGTCCTTATGAGACATAGAGGCAGGACACAGACCATAGCGGCTGCCACTGACTTTGGGCTTGGGGTGGTGGTGATGGTATTTTAGCGACCCCTCCCACACCATCAGAGCAGGGCTTCCTCACAGTCCCACTGACTCCCGGGGTATTCCTCCAGTCATTTCTTCCTCTCAACTCCTACTACCTTCCTGCCTTTCGCAGAAATGTCCACTCAAGGGAGTAAGTACATTAATAAGGAAATTCAAAATGCCGTCCAGGGAGTAAAGGAGATAAAGACCCTCATAGAAAAAACCAATGCGGAGCGCAAGTCACTGCTGAGCAGTTTAGAGGAAGCCAAGAAGAAGAAGGAGGTAGGGACAAGCCTTGACCTGGCCCTGGCTCTCCCTGCTGGAGGGGAGGAAGGGGTGGTGGTGGGCAGATGTCTCGTGGGGTTGCCATGGTGTCCTAGCGCAGTCCTTGCAGGGTTTTGCTGAAGCTGGGCTAGACCGAGGAAACAGGGAAGGCACATTTGCTTCTGAAAGCTGAGGTCTTGGATCTGGTTTCCTTGCATGCCTGGCCCAGGGCCTGAAGCCCAGATTCATTTCAATAGATTTGTCTAATCCTTGTTGAGGGTAGGGAACAGGCGCAGGCCTGGGTTGGGGAGGGGGTGAATCACGGCAGCGTCTGGCTACTGCCCACTACTCTTTTCTTCTGTATTCAAAATTACTTTTAACGTGAGAGTGCTTATTGTAATATTTTAAAATTACTGCAAAGTCCTCTGAATTTATCCTTAGACATACGTCCATTCCCACTTAGCCACAGGGGGAAGCCTGAAGCCGTGGATAGAACCAGGCCCTCTAGATATGTCTTTGTGTACCTGTCCATCATAGTCCTAACTGATAAATTACAGCCAGTAAGATATGAAGAACAACCACGAAATAGAACAATTATAATCTTACACTGCAGAGAAAGTCATGCAAATGTATTGCTCTCACTCTCAAAATATCTTCATCCCTCGCGGTCCTTGATACTATTTTTAGAGTGTGGTTGACCACGGGTAGATAAGACCACGGATGATAACTGGGTACTGCAGTGTTACCATTAGTTTGACTTGTCTTCTCCACTTGAGCATCTTGGTTGGCTCTGGTGCACACGCACGCATAAGGTAGAATTTGTGCACACCTCCATCATTCACACACACACTTATTTTTCATATCTGTATGTAGGTGTGCACATCTGCTGTGAACTAGCATCTCTTCAGGCACAGGATTTAAAACATTTATTTTGGCAATCCCTGGAGCCAGTAACTGGGCCAGGGGCATGGTAGTGAGTTTGATGGTTGATGCGACTTCTGTTGCCATGGCTTCGGTTTGCATGCCAGGGGCCGCCGCTATAACAGAGAGATGAGACAGGCGCCTTTGGGGAGCTGAGAGGAGGAAGTGAGGTGTAAGGAAGAGGTGGGGCCTGGGGAAGAGTCTGTCAGAGCAGTGAATCAGAGAGGTCGGGGAAAGCCTTGGGAGCAACTGGGTCTTGAAGGATAAGAGGCTGCTGAGAGCCTGGTGGGGGCAGCAACAGGTGTACCAGAGAGAAGATGGGGGCAGCAACAGGTGGGCCAGAGAGAAGAGGAGGGCTGCAGGACCAGAGTGAAGATGGGGGCTACAGGACCAGAGTGAAGATGGGGGCTGCAGTAGCACATTGAACATAGCCCAGGGAGACCTGCCGGGTCTCTGTGTGCCTCACCTGGCCTTGTTCTCTTCCTGAAGGATGCTCTAGATGAGACCAGGGATTCTGAAATGAAGCTGAAGGCCTTCCCGGAAGTGTGCAACGAGACCATGATGGCCCTCTGGGAAGAGTGTAAGCCCTGCCTGAAGCAGACCTGCATGAAGTTCTATGCCCGTGTCTGCAGAAGCGGCTCTGGTCTCGTCGGCCGCCAGGTGAGAAGAAGATGTGGGCATGGCCTGGGTTCTGAGTGGGGTATGTGGGTGATTCCTGAAACAGACCTCATTCCGTGTGCTGGATACAGGTGATTAGCATTGCTTGACGACTTGCCTCGCTAGTGTCGTGGTTGATTGGTGATGTCTGACATGAGTGTAGATGTAAAAAAAAAAAAAAAAAACCATCACAGGTGTGCTTGCCAGGTACCGTCTCCCAGGAGACCTTTAATGAACTGGGTAAAATGGCCTTATAGTATGGCAGAATGTAACGTGAAAAGGCCAGCTTGTTTGTGTTTTCTGTCCCCACCTGGTACCCCACAGCCAGCAGGCCCCAGAGAAAATCAACCACACAGATCTCTATAAGTTATAAAGCTGATTGGCCCATTAGGTCAGGCTTCTTACTGGCTAACTCTCACATCTAGATTAACCCATTTTTCTGATCTATGTTAGCCATGTGGCTCAGTACCTTTTTCAGTAGGGCAGCTTACATCCTGCTGCTTCAGTGGTTTGGGCAGGAGTGGGAGGAATCAACTTCCTCCTCCCCAGAATTCTCCTGCTCTCCTTGCATCATTTCCACTTCCTGTCTGGTTTTCCCACCTATACCTCCTGCCTGGCCAATCAGCGTTTATTTAAAACATGATTGACAGAATACAGACAATTCTCCCGCAGCAGAATCCTGTGCTCAACTAGGAAGAAGGAATTAAGAATATTTAGTATATTTGCGTTAATTCTATCCCTACCTGTGAGCTTCACAAGGTTGGGACCTTGTAAAATGCATTGTTTCCTGAAGTTTGACCCGCTAAGCGGAAGGGGCTGTCCCCTAGGGTCCAAGATGACAGGGGGCTCTCTTGAAGTGACGAGACGGGTGAGCCTCTGGGTGTCGCAGTGAGAGGGAGATGCAGTGACAGTAGTTGACAGGATATCAGGAAGCAGAAGAGTGGGGACCTGGGTCACCTGCTGCGTGATCAGAACGCAGGCTGGAGGCCCACCTCCTTACTGGGCTTCTCTGGGTCCCAGCTGGAGGAGTTTCTGAACCAGAGTTCACCCTTCTACTTCTGGATGAACGGCGACCGCATTGACTCCCTCATGGAGAGTGACCGACAGCAGAGCCAAGTCCTAGACGCCATGCAGGACCGCTTTACCCGGGCATCTGGCATCATGGACACGCTTTTCCAGGACCGGTTCTTCACCCACCAGCCCCAGGACAGCCACTACCTCTCACCCTTTGGCTTCCCCTCACACAGGAGACCTCATTTCTTATACCCCAAGTCCCGCTTAGTCCGTAGCCTCCTGCCTGTCTCCCACTTTGGGCCCCTGAGCTTCCACGACATGTTCCAGCCTTTCTTCGATATGATCCACGAGGCTCAACAAGCCATGGATATTCAGTTCCACAGCCCAGCCTTCCAGTTCCCGGACATGGATTTCTTAAGAGGTCAGAAAATGCTTGCTTGCTTTCCCAGCAGGAATGGGAACCTTCCAGATGTTAAAGCTCTTCCAGGACTTGGCATACGCCGTGTTTACGTTCCTAGAAGTCCCCTAGGCTGGCATTCTCTTCATTTACAGGGCAAAGGAGCTAGGACGGGGGTAAAGGAATGTAGACGACACAGTGGTGTCTAGTTCAATTTAGCACTGCAGAGGTGGGAGCCTGTGTTCTTTGTAGTCAACTCAGGGTGTGACCTGGGCTGTGCCTCCTGCGAGACCACAGCTTTTTCTTAGGAGCTCTTGAGGTGTGGTGTGGGAAACCTGCCCTTCCATGCAATGAATTGTATCACAGCCTTGATCACCCTTAAAGAAGAGGCTCGTGGCTGTGACCTTAGCATGCAATGTCTGGAAGGATGACATGTAACATGGACACAAGAAGCCAGTGTCTGAGGAACAATATTCTTCATCAGGGCTCTGTGTCCTGACACCATTATGTGGTTTGCATTGTGGGGCTTGATGGCCGGTTAGGGAGAACCACCAGCCAAGGAGGATGCAGAACAGAGTGGGCTGTGATGCCAGAAGGCACACAGCTGAGGGAACGTGGCAGGAGAGATGGAGACGGTGGGAGCACAAGCTGTACCTGCTGAGGAGCCACAGGGATATCCTCAGGGAGCCACAGGGAAGTCCACATTGCTTAGGCAAACAATCACCCGCATCTTCCCCGACCACAGGGCTGAGCAGAGGTGCGGAGGAGTGTTATGTTGGGTGGGCTCCCTTCCAAAGTGCTGCGAGCCTCACCTGCCTCTTTCTCCCCTCATGTATGTCCAGAAGGTGAAGATGACCGTGCAGTGTGCAAGGAGATCCGCCACAACTCCACAGGATGCCTGAAGATGAAGGGCCAGTGTGAGAAATGCCAGGAGATCTTGTCCGTGGGTGAGTGGGTGACCGGTCTCTGATTTGGCGCTGTGGTCATCTGACTTTGGGTCACTAGTGACTGACTCACTGGTACTTTCCTTCCTCAGAGACTAGCTCTCTGTCTGTGAGCTGTGGTCCCGGAGAGAGTCCTCACCCTGGCGCACAGCCCGCTGTCCTCATGTTGAGAGTTAGGTTCGTTATTTGGAAGCTGGCGTAGAACCCAGTACTTCATGCCTGATAGCAAGTGCTCTACCGCTGAGCCACGCCCACTGTACTTCGAATCAAGTTCAGATGCAGATTGTTGTAACATACATGAGGTACATCTGAGGCACTCACCGCCTTGGTGGCCCATGGTAAACCTTCAATCCACGGTGGGTGTTGCTGTGGAATTTGACTATAGCTACCAGCAATCCACAGCCCATTCTCCTGGTTGCTTTGTCTGCAATGCCAAGCCTAGTAGACCTTGTTTTTTTTCTTCACTTCTTATTGTGAAATCTTAGATGACATGCAGTTTTGTTTAACGAGCACTGTTGTAAACATTTCGCAGATGCTTGTTCACCCTTGAGAGTGACCTTGTGAGCTCTTTGTGTCTTGCAGAATGGCTAAGTGGCTTGCCTAAGATTAGGAGACACAAGACATCTCCCTTAGGCTGTGCTTGTGAACCTAACCCTGGGGTTTCTCCTTGGGGACCCTGAGCTATGTGACAGTGGTCCTTGGAATCCTGGCCATGTTCTTTTTGGGCAGATTAGCCTCTCAGAAGAGGAAATATGTTTCTTCAATAGTTCCCCAGGCAACCTGGGTATGGCAACCTGGGTATGGCGGTACTCCCCCCCCACACACACCAATAATTCCATCAGTTAGGAGGCTGAGGTAGGACAATGGTGAGTTCAAGGCTAGTCTTGGCTACATAGTGAGATTCTGTCTCAAACAAAACAAAATGTAACATAAGCAAAACCAAAACTGTTTCTCTCAGTTTTGTCCGATCTGGCTGTCAATCAAATGCCCCTGCTCTGAGCCCACTCTTTACAGTGGTTCCCTGTCTTTGCAGCACACCCTGCTCAGATCACAAAGGGTTAATCTTCCTTATCAACCCCGTCATTATCCGCATTACTCTATACCTGTGGTTGGCCAGGCCAGGCCTTCAGAGTCCGGTTAAATATTCCTAGCCTCCCTCCTGCGATGTCAGGAGCCCATGCAAACAAACAGAGTTTTTCAAAGGATATGGTGTAAAATTGTAGACAGATATCTGGCCCACCCCTGCAGACTTTCCCCAGTAAACTGTCAGGATAGTTGAATGACCAAGAGCCTGACCACAAAGAAGCCAGTCACCTCATAGACTGGCTCTCTGACATCAGACTTAACGATCCTAGACCACACTCTGTCACCCCTTAGCTTATTCATGGTGCTTACAATTATATGGGTAGGCTCTACCGGGACCTGTAGCCTGGGACGTCTCGATTCAGCCCTGTGGGGAGGACCTTTGCAATGCTGAGCATTTAACAGCATCTTTGGCTTCCACCTCCCAGATGCCAGCAGCCACCCTCCCTCCGCTGTGACAATCAGAATTATCTTCAGAACTTCCAGAATGCCCCCTGGTCGGTAGCAGGGCGCCAGGTTGAGAACCGCCATTCGACACTGTCTAGTCCCTTGAGGACTTTTCCTTGTTTGGGATATTTAGTAGTAAGAACATTCAGGTTATTCCTCGAAACGTTCTTCTCGACCTGGCTTCCTGTCTCTAATCCTGTTTCTTGCCCCACACAACATGTTCTCTTATTTCACTATTAATGATGGCAGCTGCACACACGGCCCAGGAAGCTCTCTTCTCTCTTGTCTGGCTTCATTTTCATAGGGCCACTCCTAGATGTTTTAAAAATAATGGAGGGGTGGGGGAAAAACTGGTTTTCAGATGACATGGGCACTTTCTAGGTCCTAGAAGCCTGACATCTGCAGGGCACTCAAGGACCAGAAAGGAAGATTGAAATTTTTGTCTTCTCTGCAGGAGCCCCCTGGCCAGCTGTGGGTGGACAAGGGCAGACAAGGACCGACCCCCAGGCACCAAACATCTGTGTTTTGTAGCCTATGGGTCTCGCTCTTGTAAAGCTCGGGAACCAGAATTTCCAAATCTCTCAAAAATGCTCAAAAATAAGCTGTAAGCTCGGTGAATGTTCTCGAACCATAGTCTCAGAGGAGGAAGAGCCTAGGTTGAGGAGCTGAAGATGTGGGTTCAATCCTAGTTCCACGAGTTGTTTCTCCTTTAGATTTGGGCCAGTTTCCTACTTCTGGAAGCCTGTTTTGTTACCGGTAAAACCAGAATTTGGATGCTTAGGCCACACCAAGCGTACTTTGAGAGAAAAAGACACTTGGAGCACCTGATGTGTGTTTGGCACACAGTAGGTGCACTCTATGAAGTGTCCGGTGCACAGCAGGTTCCTCTTGTTTGGAAATGACTCCTGGGAGGACCTAAGGCAGCGAGGGTAGCTCCAGGTTTGAAAATACGGAGCTGTGGACATTGGTGCTGCCCAGAGCATGGTCAGCAGCTCAGGGACAGATCACCAAGACGGGTCATGTCTGCCACCCAGAGAGGACTGGGTTATGCTGCTCTAGCACAGCTTAGCACAGCTGCCACTGCTTCCCAAAGCATGAAGGGAACAGGGCCGTGATGCCCATTTTGGGGGAGCAGTTTTGTGGGAGTCATAAGACCTGGTTTGTGGCCCCTCTACTCAACAGTAGCTCTGCCTGCTTCAGGTTCCAGCTGCAGCAGCCGGTTCCCAGTGACATTTTCATGGCCCTTTGACTTTCGCTTCACGCTTCTGTTCATTTTTCCTCTGGACAGACTGTTCGGCCAACAACCCCGCGCAGGCTCACCTGCGCCAGGAGCTGAACGACTCCCTCCAGCTGGCCGAGAGGTTGACCCAGCGGTACAACGAGCTGCTTCATTCGCTCCAGACCAAGATGCTCAACACCTCGTCCCTGCTGGAGCAGCTGAATGAGCAGTTCAACTGGGTGTCCCAGCTGGCGAACCTCACCCAGGGCGAAGACGAGTACTACCTCCGCGTCTCCACCGTGAGTTGGGTTCCAGTCACGTGCCCAGGCTAGGGCCCACGTGTGGTCTAGAGATGACGTGTGCCTCTTAGAGGTGGAATGGGACAGAGGTACCATGCAAGAGTACCTCTGATTTTCCCTGGCAAGGACTAGGGAAATCCTATGCACACTTTAACACTGAAATGCCTTCACTCTCTGAGGACAAAATATCCAAGTCCGATTTCCAAGAAAAGGAAAGTGAGGTTCCGTGACTTACTAAAAATGGGGAACTTTGGACAACTTCCCCGGGTCACTGACCCATCAGCCCGACTGCAGAGTGGCTTCCTTACCCTGGGCTGCGTTAAGTAGCACATGAATTGGCTCATTGTCAGCCAGTAAGAATAGTTTCCTTTAGTGCTAGGAGACCCCTTCTCCCTCTTTTGACCACAGACTGGCTAACATTTGTACAGGCAAATGTTGGGGCCAGGCGTGCTGTCAGCCAGCATTGAGGAAACCGAGCTAGAAGGGTGGAGAAACTGAGGACAGGCTGGACTACCTGGTGAGACCCCATCTCAAAGCGAAAATAAGAAAAAACACAAGATAACAAGAAAACATTTGAAAATCAAGTTTCTGGAGTGCCTGCTCAGTTGGTTGTTTCCAAATGGCATCTGCCCTTTCAGATTGGGATATTTTTGCTCTGAATTGCCTCGACATCTTGACTAGGGACAGATAGCAGAAGACCCGTATTTGGTTGAAGGGGCAAAGAGAAGATCCATATCCTTCGGCAAAGAAGGGCACACGCTAGGCATCGTGTAGAGATGTCTCACTTGCCTTTTCCTGCCTAGGTGACAACCCACTCCTCGGACTCAGACGTCCCCTCCCGTGTCACTGAGGTGGTGGTGAAGCTCTTTGATTCTGACCCCATCACAGTGGTGTTGCCAGAAGAAGTCTCTAGGGATAGCCCTACGTTTATGGACACAGTGGCGGAGAAAGCGCTGCAGGAATACCGCAAGAAAAGCCGGTAAGTAGGTAGCCTTTCTGTGACCCCCAGGGGCTGATAAACAAGTGTCTCTGAGACCCTGGGAGGCTGGAAAGTCCTCAGGAGTCCAGACAAGGAGCAGAATGTACATCCTGGGCACAGCGCCTGTCCCTGTGGCTGGAGCCCATGGGTAAGCTAGGAAAACCCTGGGGATTTTCCTTTCTTTGCTCTGGGAAATGTTTTGCCTTGGAGGTAAGACTGTGGGTGCTGGTAGCTGTTTCTTAGGGGGGAGATTAATTCCCTCCTCCACTCCTTTTCCTTTCAGAGCGGAATGAGGCAGAAGCATCGTTTTCCCACATGTGGGGGCCTCTAGGAGTGAAGCCCCCCCCAACTCCCTGAGGTTGCCACAGACCCCTCGCGAGCTCCGCATGTCTCCACACGAGTCGGCCTCAATCCCAGCAACCTTCGTCTGGATTCTGCACTCTAATGCCTACACTTGCTGCTCCTGGGAAGAACTCCCCCACGCAACTAATCCAATAAAGCCGCCTTGTGATCTGTTGCCCAGCCTGTTTCCGTACTTGATTTTCCTGCCGGCTGCGCGCCTTGGTTGGGTATGGGGAAGGAACAAAGAAACAGATGGGTCAGTTGGTAAAGTGCTTGCACAAACATGAGTTTGGTAAAGTCTGGCGTGGCCGTGGTGACACACACTTGTAACCTCAGCGTGGTTAAGAGGGCCTGGAACTTGCTGGTGGGCCAGTTTCCCCTGATCAGTGAGTGGCAGGTCCCAGTGAAAGATCTTGTCTCAAACACATGGGTAGGAAAAGAGACCGGAGGAGCAACTCCCACAAGACAGCGGAGAGTAAAGAATACTCATCATGGCATTTGGAGATGGGGGACTTCCGGCTTTGAACGGGAGAGGCACGTTCCAGTAAGCCACTGAGGCAAATTCCTGAAGCTGGAAACTTTGTTCCCATTCCAGCACTGTCCCTGTGTCCTGACAGGGCCGGGGCAGTCTCCCAGAGAATGCACTGAAAATCAAGGCAAAAAGAGCTGCCCATAGGACACACAGGTGCTTTAAGGTGTGGCTGTGGAGTCCAGACAAAGAGGCAGTTTTCTTTTTATTTGTAAGAACTTGGAACCCTGGGACACCTTCGGGACCATGGTGGTCTCTGATCACTGCCTCTCCGTACAGTCTTTGCGTCTTTACTGGGTGTTTGTTTCTCTGCTACTGTGGTTTTAAGTTCATTCCTACATAGTTTGGGCAGTTTTAGGTCAGTTGCAGTACCAGGTGGTGCCAGCAGGTGATGCTGATAAGCTATGGTCTGCATCTCCAGCGTGCACACCCAGTCTGTTAATTACCTGCCGGTTTCTCAGGTCATTGGGAGTAACGGTGTAGAAGCGACAGGGGCCATTGGTTTGCAGTCCTGAAGTTAGAAAATAGCAGGTTCAGAGACCCAGGGGCTTCGCTGTGGTCTTACGGATGCCAAGGCTTCTTCTAGCTCAGGGTCCCATGCAGACCTAACCTGGCTAGGTGTTTCCTGGAAGAACTCGGTCAATCCAGGATGCACAAAGATGAATGAAGAGAAGGTGCAGAAAGGGGTTGGATCATCAGAGTCCAGCACTGACCCTGCTGGCGAGACAGCAAATGGCACACCGTGCCGAGCAATCTCACGAGGTTCACAATGACCGTTTGCGTCCGAGCTTTTCCCACTCTAATCCAGTTTCACCTCTGACCCCAGTATCCCAGCTGTATCCCTCACTGACTGACACGACTTCATGATGGCTGGGCAGCGTGAGCGCCTGTACTACTCTTCCTGCCCCAACTCCGTGACTTACGGTCCGCCTCCGGTCCAGCTGTAAGTGGACGAGGGTTCGTCAGGCTTGGGATGGGGTTGTCACAGGTTGGGATACCATGATCAGCCTGCCCTCGCTTGTACCAGCACCCAGGGGAGTAACGACCATGTCTTGATTGGCACCAGAGCCACTCTGGGGCCTCATCTTTGCCTCAGTCTCTCTAGGTATCCTAAGGCCCATCACAGGATGGGGGTGACTGGAGGGCCACGTTTCCAATCTTTGCCCATGATGACCTTGGCAAATGTGACATCTTTGCCAATGATGTTGTATGTGTAAGGCCGCAGTGACTCGCTGACACCATTACAGGAAAGGGCAGGTTTTATCACATCAGCAGATAAAAGGACCTAAAGACAGGGGCTAGTTCTTTGAAATTGACCCGTGAGGACCTTGACAGCCATGAACACAACATGATACTGGCTGTGTGAAGACATCCTGTGTCTAGAAACACATGTCAAGAACGTGAAACCAACAAACATAGGTGACTCCCTTTTGGAATTTTTTGGAAATGTCTGGGCTTCTCTTGACCTCTGAAAGGTCCTGTCTCATGGAGCCGACATCAAGACAAGGCTGATATCAGCAGCTCAGATGTTTATTTTGCTTCACATTGCCTGGTGCTGTTGCCCCTCTTTGTAGATTCCCACTCCAAAGTCTCCTCCTGTGTGGTTAGGTTCTTTAGAAGGATTTTTCTGGCTTCCCCTCTACTATTCTTGTGATAGAATCCTTCTTGGAAAAGACTTCAGGCAGGGGCCTGCCTTACGGAGACCAGGAAACCTCACTTCTAAATCTGAAGCCAGCCACAGTTTACAGAGCTCGGCGTCCGTTCCTTTCTGAGACATTCAAGGTCAGCCTTTTGTTTGGGCCATGGCAGGCACACAAGTTAGGTTTAGATTTTCCCCTGGGGACAGTCACTGGGACAGTTTGAGACTCAGTCCAGAGACCTCCAGAGGCTACCATGGAATGACCAGAGAGGTCCCTTCGTGAGCTGTGTGTTCCCTCGGTTGGTGGGCTTTGACGGCCTTCCCCAGCCAGTGCTACCAGTCTGCTTTCCTGACAAGTCACCGTGTCTTATCCAAGATTCCAAGGTGAAAGAGTTGATCCATTCCCCAGTATTAGTTACTTTCTATTGCTGTGATAAAAATACCTCAAGAGCAGCAACTCAGAGAGAAAGAGTTGCCAGTTCCAGACACAGCCCAGTGAAGCTTTATCTCCGAACAGTTCCACAACCGTCCCCAAACATCCCCACCGGCTGGAGACCAAGTGCTCAGACATGGGAGCCTGTGGGGGCATTGAACATTTGGGCCACCATGTCAGTGGCCTGGCTGACTTGTCTAAGTTTGTCCTATCCTGAGCCAGAGACCCCAGGGAATCCTTTAAGTGTCCCATGTATTCGGGGGTTTGGCAAGAACCTCAGAATAATGAGCTGGTGGCTGCATCCCATGGGAGCCCCAGAGCTCACCAGGGCCCCTCTTTTTCTCGGCTGCATACCGGAGGAGGATGGAGACAGGTGGACATCTGAAAAGAAGTGTGGTTGGTCACCTCTCCCCAGATTCAGCCAGTAGAACTGACGCTGTGCTGTGATCCTAATTCCTGTCCCCACCCTGGGAAGGCACTGGTTCTCATCATCCAACTTGATTTTAATTTCTTGCATGCTCTAGTGATTACTGCCCACTTGTTAGAGTCCAGGCTCAGCAGGCAGGAACGGGCCCACACCTCAGTACCCTTGATTTCCCACATCCAGAGAGGAGGTTAGTCTTTGCCCCCAGGGACATGGATGAGCTGCTTCCTGATTGGGGTTCAGCTGATGGGGAGGCAGCTGCAGACAGGACTCAGCCAATGGACCAGAAGAAACAGAAGAAAGATGGAAGGAGGGAGGAAAGGGGGATCTAGATCAGCAATGCCCTTGGGAGCCCAGCATCCCTCAGTGTCAATGGATGATGCCATGACCATCTTCTGAATGGACAGCCTGCAGGAGTCAGAAGACACCAGCTCAAAGAAGGAAGAAATTACATTGAGCAGAGGGCAAAGCCCCTAAGGATACGCAGGTGTTCTGGCAACTAGAACGTGTCTTTCCAGAACACTGGGTTGACTGAGCAAGCTGGGAATTGAAGAATTAAGAAACTTGGAGGTTTCAGATCTAAGTCACTGGACTGAGTCCTTTCCTCACTGTCTCTGTGTCTGGAATAGACTGCTCAACCCGTAGAGCTTAAGGGTTGAATGTAAACTCTCTAAAATACACACTGTAAAGGGCACTCCTGTCTCCAGCACCTGGGGATGCTCACCCCAGCCTGCTACTTGGGCGCAGCCTTCTGGTGAAGAAATTATTTTTAGGATGAGTCAGCATGGAGCAAAGTTGGAGTCGAGTCAGTAAAGGAAAGTTCTGGACTTGTTAAGATGACAATGCAGGCTTTAAGTGTGGGCATGGAGACACACACACAGACATACTTAAGGGCAGGACATTTGAGGAACTGAGGACTTCTCAAGGGATTGAAGTCATTGGGATATTGGATAGCCGCTTTTATGAGCAAACTTAATGGAAGGGTGATTATTTATGAATTAAAGTGGGGTGGGTGGGGGATTCTATGTGTGGATTTTCCCAGAATGGGGTTCACTTCTTTTGGTCCGTTATGGGGTTTTCCAGATGTGTTATGACATCAGATGAATAATGGGGGAGACACTCTTGCCAGGCCAGCGAGGGCAAGCTGCCATTATAGCGGAGCCAAGAACGGTCAGTGAGTGTGTTGCTCAGTCATGCTGACCCAGCTGGGTTTGGGTTATCTTAGTCATTGATCGAGCGATACAGGATGTTTCACTATCAGACAGTTTTGTTTTTTTAAAAAAATTTTTTCTTTAAGTAACAAGCAGTTGGCCTTTTCATCCATGCCTATGCAACCTGTCCAATTCCCTGTCGCTTTAGCTGGAGTTTAAAGACATTGTCTTTTGCAGCTTGTTCTGAGATACTGACGTTTCTTCCCTTCCCTGAGCTGCCTCTTCTGTGGAAGGGCAGGGTAGGGGTGATTTCAGCCTGGTTATCTCCAATGCCTCAGAGCTTAGTTTGATATTTTTTCTAAAAACATTTTTACTTGTATGTATACATGTGTGGGATTGCACACGAGTGCAGTTACTCACAGCGTCCAGAAGAGGGAGCTAGAGATGTTGGTGGTCATAAGTCTCTTGACCATGTGCTAGGGATTAAACTTGAGTCCGTTATAAGAGCAGCACATGCTCTTAAATTTTTGAGTCATCTCTCTAACCCCATACATTTACTCTCATTGGTCACTCCAATCCTTTCTAGAGGCTTCAAGAGAAAAACCATCAGTGGACACATCAATAGCAATGTTGGGCTTGGGTGCCTGTGATCTCAGTCGTCAAGGCAACTCTGAGGGCTGAAAACTCTGGCTGGAGTTAGGGTGGACTCTTCGGCCCCCAAGTTTCCCCTAATAGGCCTGTTTAACCTTTTGGCTGGTCAGCATGGCACTATCATCTACGAAGCTCACACATGAGAAATAGGCAATCAAGTTAAAAAAAAACAAAAACAAAAAAACCTCAAAGCTTGGACTATCGGAGGGGCCCCTGGCAGTAAGTAGGACCAGGATTTATCCCTCGTGCATGAGCTAGCTTGTTGGAGCCCATTCCCTGTGGTGGGATGCCATGCTCAGCCTTAATGCAGGGAGGAGGGGCTTGGTCTTGCCTCAACTTAATGTGCCA